GATCACCATGAAGTCTGGCTGCACTCTAAACACTCCTGGGTGCAGATTGACACGGAATGCGGGTCTCGCAACAGACATTTTAACGCATAGACCGCCAGGTCCTTTTTACACTACCGGGGGTTTTCGTGATCTGCGCGGCGCCCGACTAAAATCAAAACTATGGGCAAATTCACCCCTCGGTCAGGGAATTTACGCACAGTTAAAGAATTCCAGCCATAAAAATATATATGAAGCCATTTTTCGATTGTAAAAAAAACCCCTCTCTTTACTTAATCTGGACCATAGGGATGCAAAACAATGCAGTTGCAACATTTAAAAAGTACCGAAGAGCAAAAAGGTGAACGTATTTGGAAGCACATATACATAAACAACATGTTGTGCGTAATGCGCACTGGACGCGCTGCCATCCGTCGCTCCGCTCGTTGTTTGCCCATACTTTTCAAAATGCTATTACGCGCAAGACTGGTGGTCTATGCGTGGAAAAAACCCTAGGCTAATGTGCAGATAAAAAATACGCTTCTGGGTCAGGAGTTTTTTAGAGAGTGATGTAGAATCTATTTTCCTCACTCGGGACAATGTTCCTTGACATTGTTATAGTCTTAACAAGTCAAACTTGAGATGGTTTTATACCACGTGCCAGTAGAATAACATTTTTAACAACTTATTCCACTGTACATAGAGTTTTAATTATATCAGTTGAGATGGTTTCTTTGTTTTTACAGAATATTTGAAATTAATTCCATTCCATTTTGTGATTTTTTTCACCAGTCTTACTTATGTTCACAGATCGTGTATTTGTAAGAAGAACATGCTTAAATGTACTGTATTTTGCAGTGGCGTACCGGTAACTAGGGCTAAATGTCCACGGAGCACCACCAAAAAATGAGCTGCAGCTGCATTTCAACGGAGATTATTCACAGATTTCAAATGCGGGGAGGGCATGGGCATCCGTGGGGGGGGGCACCCCCGTAGTTATGCCTCAGATGTTTTGCGTTGACAATGACTACAAGGTTTGGTATATATTACAAGTTTCAACATAACAAATGTTTATTAAGTATACTCCTTTGCAAAAAGAAAGTGTTTTTCTTCCTTGAAAAATACTTCAAGGAATAATTTATCGGGTAAGTATGATGGTAAAACCTTTTTCCCGAATTGGTCTCAATATTAACTAGCATCGTGGCTTGAGCTGTCTCAACCTCACTCCAAACCCGAATCCTATCCATCAAAATTTTAGCCCGTTTATGTACCCACGACACCGCACATGCAGCGAACAGATGTGGCCGTCTTTATCGCTCGGTCCCCCGTAATGGACTGTGGTCTCTCGGGGCCATACTCGATCGCTTGCGCGGGGGAAAAGGTTGAGAAGACAAAAACGGGGGAAAACAAAGAGATATCACAGGAGAATGGTGAAATTGCAACACGATAAATCCAACCAAGCCAGCTTCTCCAGCGTGTGACTTCGCAGCGGGATGTACTGTCAGATATTCCCCCTCTCACCCGCTGATTTTTTTTCATCACACGGATCAGCGGCCATCGGGTAAGCGGCTGCGGGACATATGGTGCGCGGGGCACCAAATAGCATTTTCCGGGCAGGGTATTATGTGGATGCGCTCGGCCTTGCCTGATCTGGCGGGACCACGTAATCAAGCGCGGCGCAGTGTGGCCAGGGAGCGCATCGCACTGACGGGGTGATGTTGGTGTTTAGCGAGGGAGGAACGTAAGAACAAAGATGAGGCAAGCTACTCTGCTCGCTGTCGTGGGGAATGTTTTCAGGGTAATAAGTGATCCGATTAGACCACTCAAAGCTTCCGCTGCCTCTAAGGGCTCTTGAGTTCGTATTGTATGGTTAGAAAGGCCCTTTAACTTTTTTTTTTACACTGTGAGACGACGATATAACCAGATTTGAGATCTTTAATAACAATTGAATTAACATTTTACCGAAACTGCAACGTTCTCTAAATCCGAAAGATTGAAACTAGGACAGGCGATTAAGAGTGAAAATCACCCTCAATTTAGATACTCTGACAAAATAATCACTTCAGTCGGAGCTCGAGTGAAAACTTGATCTTTTCGATTGAAGAAATTTCATTCTCAAACGTCTCGTCCCTAGTTTCCAACCGTGGGAGTGAATTTTCACTGGAAAAGACTGAGTTTTCACTCTTTTGAATTTAGAGAGGCGGACAAAGACCTTATGTAGTTGTTGATAAATTTTCACAATTATCATTAATAGATAAATTTTCGGTGTCGTGTATAATAGATCCATCTGCAAATTCATTGGTTTGGGCGAACATTTAGTTGTTTTATTAATTGAAGACTACTGAATTAATAAAATAGTATTATCTTGTGCATCCCTTGCTAAAATGTTGATTGTTTGCAGGTTGATCAACAGACGGAGAATTCGCGAGACAGGCTTTTAATTAGCTCTTTCATTTTCTGTCAAAGAACAACGGAAGAGCTTCAGTGCATGGACCAACAGTCATAACCCCGGGCTGTTTTTGGCGCGAGAAAGCCACTTAGATGTTTCTCGCCCCATTTGCGTGGAAAGAAAGCAACCTGATAGTGGTCGATAGCATTGCCCAAATGGTGGGAAAGTAGGAAATGCTTCTTTTGTTTATTTCCTCCATCTCTGTATCCACTTTCCCCCAGGTGATGGATTTAACGGCGTTTTATTGATAAATAATGCAATATGCCTCGTGCGGTACTTAAAGAGGCACTTATGCATTGGTGTCTGCATGAGATGTTATTTTTATTCTATCTCGTTCTATTTTTGTCAAATGGTCGGCCGGTTGGTCAATTGGACAATTGGTTGATCAACGGGTAGCTCGGTCGGTTGGGTTGTTGTTTTGGGTGGCAGTCAGGTGGGTTCCTAACTGTGTCCATCTTCTCTGTCTGGTCGGTCGGTTGCTCGACCACACAGTTAATAATATATAGGTATGCTGTTTCTATTTCTTGTACATGCAGATCTTGAATTCGAAGACTACAAAATCTTTCATAAATTCCATCAGAAGATGAAATTCTGAATAACTTCATGCAATGCAACAGTTCTATTTGTTAGAGCGCATGCTTTACACGATACATATGCCTATTAGCAGCAGGCAAAAGGCGTCCGCCGACGAAACTAGTATCATAATTTCTGATCGAGACGCAATTGTTGTCTGTGTACCTGCTGTTGTATCAGAGAATAGTCCTATACGGCGGTCTATCTTAGCAGCAGACAAAAGGCGTCCGCCGTTATCTGGCACCTTGAGTGAATAAGTATACAAACTCAGTTCTGAAAAAACCCAATACATGACTTTTACATATGTTTTAACATTTTCAATCGCGTTTTCAGTATGCTATAGAAATTCCACTCTCAACGATGAAATTATACGGGTAACCATCACACCTTCCCCTTTCAGACAGTTAAGAACAATCCTCAAAATACACATCTTTTGTGTCAACCGTTACTTAGCATTAAAATTCAACTGCATGTGATGACGTTAACAAGACGTGCTGACACTTTTTATCTGTATCTACAGTTTTGGACGTCAGAATGTTCCCCAGGACAAATTTGTCTATGCAATGCTTTCCACACGAAAAGTTCGTAGTGCAAGGTGGGCATTCATTGCAAGAGGTCATTTTCTTCAACGCTGGAAAACTAGCACTGAAGAAAACTATTGCAGGGTTCCCTCCTACGCATTGATAGAGACACGCCCCCTCTCTATTATGCTTTCCTATTGCTGTACATCTTGCATATAATTTCAAGCACGTGAACTGCCTGCCAAATTATCCTCATTCATTTTTCAACGCAGGTTGTCATCCATTACCCAAGTGTAACGTCTTTTTGTGAATTGATCGTAATTGACGAAGGGGGAGGGCCTGTCGCGATATAATTTCAAAGGTACAAGCATGGGGGAAGAATTCGGCCCATCTATATATCCATGGACTCGTTGCACTGAGCCCCGGCTGCCGAATAAAAGCCATCATTTATTTAAGTGCAGCGATGTCGGGCCAACCAGATGTGACGACTGGCCAAGCCCGCCGATGGCGTCCCGACGGCTGTTAGAGGGCGCCTGGGTCTGTGCCAGAATCTGGGTTCTTTTCCTTTCTAAGTTCGAATGACGACATTTTGTCAACTTCTGCTCGATTTTGCCTGGTTCCCAGGATGTATTTTGAGCACGGGTTAACTGGGAAACTAACCAGTGCTCGACAAGTTGTCGTCACTCAAACTCGTTCCGTGTGGACGGACATCTCGGTACCAAACACACTAGCCGCAGACATCTTTTTGTCTTTATGAAATAGAAATAGGCATGCATGTTCCACTGTTTAAAACCTCAGGTCAGGCTTTTCGTCAAAATTCCGTCATCCGTTTGCAGTTACATTTTAAATATATTACATTTGATTTTTGCTCGTCTGTCATGTTACAAAACCTCATTGACTATAAATTTAGACATCGCGTACATTGTACTTCGTATTATGCTTCCTCGGAGTCACACATTTTACATAAAATACCAACCTGATACTCAGATTTTGTAATTTGTTTGCTATGTGAAAAATAACAAACACAATTTTCATGCATTACACTCATGACCCTCTGACAGACTTACTTCGCTTTCTTTGACGCATTCATATTAAGTTGAATTTTTCCCATTTGTAAAATGTCATTTTCTAGTTAAAATATTAAAGTGTGTATGAAACAGGTGATATTGTAACCCCAAATTGCCTACAGGTAGTGTTTCTTATTATCAGGATAAGGTGTCAGTATCGGAGGTAAACACGTACTCCAAATGATCTTGCAAGCAATTAAAAGTAGCATTCTGTTATCTGGGTTTTTCTTCCAGACATCTAAGAGTCGTCGGACCCCGACATTTTCGCGTGATTTCTTGCTAGCTGCCTTGTGTGCCGTCCCACTTCGTACACGACCCAGAGATAGGCTGTCACATTGTGATCTGATTAATTAATTAGGTAATGCCGTTGGCCCTGGCTTTATTTGAACTGACATATCAATGAACGTGCCCGAGCAAGCGCGGCCTGGACGATGTAGGGGCGGCACTAAGGCTCATGGGACCAGCCAAGACCGGTTTGCCCGTATAAAAAAAAAACGCGTCTATTCAACTCCGCTGCACACCGTCTGGCAGTTTCCAACACGCACGGGGTCTCCTCGTCAAAGGTTTCGGCTTTGCTTTTCTGGCCGCTGAAGAGGTTTTGATGGTGAAAAATCAACAGGGGCGTTGGGTCTTGCGTTCAAGCGCCGACACGCTGACGTAGCGGCACAACACGGCGGGCAGGAAAAGGCGAGCTGCAGCCCAGCTCCCGTTTTATAACCGTGGCGACGGAAGACAACCCAACGGGACCCTTTACCAGTGGCTGTTGAAGTGCTTGGCCTTTGGCGTACACGTTGCTTCTGATGACATTTTCACGAGGATTGCAAACAACCATAGGAGTGCAGCACTTCACGTGGAGTGGAGACACACCGACCCGGTACTACCGGAATCAGCCTAGACTACTGTAAAACTAAAGGTGAACAGTTGTGCTTTTTTCATTGTAAACAATTACCAGAACAATTCTTGACGAGTAAAGAAAGACTCTGGAAACGACGCAGCACATTCCCTTACCACAGCGTTTTGTTCTGAGAAAATCTACTTTTACAGAGGCACCGACTGCATCAGTGAAGTCACCATGAATATTTGAGTCCAAAAGGGAAGGCTGGACTTTTGTCACAGCATTTTTTGCTTAAATGTTGATTGGAATTTATCAGAGGTTGTTCAATTACAGATTTTGAAAAGGAACTGTGAAACCTTACACGAATTGAGTCGTTTAATTCCGTTTGTTTATCAACACACGGTTGGACAGATTTTAACATGTCGTGGGACGATAGTTATGACAAATACAGGCATTACGACATGCCAGGGGTCACTAGTGGGTCACAACCACTGCATGCACACCCCCAATTGACCATTGCGTCAACTCTGGACAAAATGACAGACACAGCGGTAAAGGTGGATGGAGTGGCATGGGGGTCTGGGGTGGGCGAGGAGGAGCGTCCCTCGCAGGGCCTATTCGGTTACCGCGAGATCTGCTCTGACGAGAACTCGTCCTCGACGGAGTCGGATGAGGTCCACCACCGGCTCTCGCGAGATGACGTGAGAGCCCACGAGGGTGGATCCCCGGACCACAACGGAGCGCTGGACGCCGAGGACGAAGACCGGGCGCTGCGGCAAGGCAAGAAGCCGCTCGGCGGCAAGGTCAGGGCGAGCGGATCCTCCGGGAAGAACTCCAAGCAGAACCGGCTGAGCATTAACTCCCGGGAGCGGCGACGCATGCATGACTTAAACGACGCCCTGGACGACCTCCGCTCCGTCATCCCCTACGCCCACGGCCCCTCCGTCCGCAAACTCTCCAAGATCGCTACCCTACTCCTGGCCAAGAACTACATCTTGATGCAGGCCAACGCCCTGGAGGAGATGAAGCGGGTTGTTAGTTACGTCAATCAGCCCCAGCTCTGCATGTCGCCACCTCCTCCCCCACCCTATTTCAGCGGCTACCCGTTCCCTGGGTACCTTACCTCCTCACCTAGGGAGAAGAGTCCAGTTCCACCAGCGCCTGCGTCATCTGGGCCGCCAGTCACCGTCCCTGCATTCCCAGTGACAAGGGAAAACAATCCAGCGGCGGGGTCATCGCTACTCCTGCATCCACTTTCAGTCACCAAGAAGTCTTTTACCAGTCCCTGCCAACAATGTGTTGACAACCCTGACAGTTTGAAGCAATTTGCCAAATAATCCAGCCTGAAACATCAAGTTCTTTTATTCGAAAACCCTAACTTTTGAAACCTTGAACTTTCTGAAATCTGACATTTGTTGATTTTTGAGAGACACTTCCGGTAGAAGAGTTTATCACAGACTATTAACGGACTTTCTTCGTAAGAGTATAAAACTGACATATACGCATCTTTGCCTATGTTTCATGATTTCTGTAAATAATATCAATTAAATTCCTTGCTTGCGATGTTTGGCATTATACTGAGGAACAGAAAATGTCAATTTTGTGCCATTTATTTATTATGTTAGACATATCTGCCAAAACGATTTTTGTGTGAGTTTTTCCTTATGATAATCTTAACCCTTCAAGGCACTTTTTCGGTCTGACGCAACTCATAAGGTCAATCCGAAAATATACTGTGAAACTTGGGTCAAAGACACTAAAAACAATTCTGAAATTGTATCACAACTCGCCTGAAGCAGGCCGCTGGATCTAATGGACTGTTTTTACACTTGCCAGAGCATACATGTGCTCGAAAATTATCCCACTGTCTGATTGTACCATGGAGGAAAGACACAGAAGAAGTTACAACTCTTGCACATCAAAGTGCTCGATGATCATTGCCGCCCTGTCAAACGAACAATAGCAAACATTCCAAAAATGCCTGATTACTGCCTGCAGTTTAGCCGAACAATTCGGGCTAGTAATATCGTTACAATATTTGTGGCGTTTATTGTGATTAACTATAACTTCTTGCTGTGACCAGGAAATCAAAAGAAAAAATATCTAACATTAAATTTACTTTTGCCGTCGTGAATAATTTTTTTTTAGATTTTGACACACTGTTCATTATCCATACAGTGTTTGTGAGTTAGTTTGTCACATCAAAAAATTAGTTTTCAAAGTCTTTGTACGAATTTGGCTCAGACTGGCCAACAACATGTTGACTACCACAGGACAGTTAAGATCACAAACAAAAATGCGCTGTTTCATCACAAGGAGTGATCATTAGATCTCATGAAATATCTATTGTGTAAATTCCGTAATAAAAATGATTCAAATAAAACACAAAATTGTATAAACAGTTTGGCTATTTATTCCCAAAATAAGTCCAGAAGAAAGGGCAATATCGATAGGGGCAATAACTGCACATGACCACTTCAGGTACACAGCCTAATAAAAAGCAGCTGCGCAAACATTAAGTTTGATGTCTGATCATACTGAGCACCAACGATGACATGAATATTCAACTTCCTATACTGCAGGACACGACGTTTTAAGGATGCAGATTACCAGCGAGAAATTGCGGCGACTATAATGGGGTACAAAGGGGGCTTATAGTTGTGAAACAGGCGGTGCGTGATAAGATATAGCAGCGCTTGCCTATAGACATACCGGGCATGCCAGAAAGCGGGAATTGGCCAGATGTTATAGCCCGGGAAGTTCAAACTCCTTCTGTGTCCTTCCTCCGGGGATTGTTCACAGTGCACAAGGCATCACATGTCACTTTCAAGGCTCTGTCCTGTGAATTACCTTATGTATACATGTGCCAATTTACTAGATTACCCGATAAAGAAGCACTCAAGTTCCAACTTTTATTAAAGACGTGACTGTCAACTGTACTGAACTGTATCTAAATTAGGAATAACTCTTATATGACTGTTATCTTCATTGTTTAAAATTCAAGCCCTCTGTCTCGGTTAGGAGGCCAAAGATAAACATTACTTGGTTCCTCTCTCACTTACTGGTTGACAGTTTAATGAAAACCATGTAAGAAAACGGCCATTTCCACCTGAAATTACTTCTTGTACAATCTGTTTCGAAAGTGTATGTGTTAAATACTTGAGCAAAACATGACATAACGGGAAATTTAATGTGTTATGATACAAAATTGATTGGCGGATTCGATAATTTATTTGGCAAAGTGTATGTATCGTATCAGCCTGAAGCATTTCATTTGAAGGTAAACATGCGTCGCAGGAGTGCCTTCTGTTGATTGTGAACGATTTACACTGGCTAGCTAATCGCTTTCTCCTATTTTGTAACTTTAGAATTTGTCTATCTTTTTGAAAAGGGTCATTCAGAAATTTGGACATCAAATAACCTCACTTTTAGTGCACAGACCATTACGCAGAACCCAAGTGAAGCCGAAAGAGTGCCTTTGACATAGTTGATATCATCATTTCAAACCATGGTCTCTAAATTTGTTCAATTGTGAGATGAGACATATATATATTTATTGGTGCTATGCAGTACGCCCTCTTTTGAGCATAATTAGTGAGGCGTTTAAGGGGGCTGATAGCTTTGCACTGTGATTGGCTGCATTCTACACGACCTGTGACCACGAGGTCATCCCGTAATTTCTTTTTTTTTTTCAGTGACAATGCTTTGCCAGGGGCAACAGGGGAAACAGGGGAAAACAGACACTGGGTACAAATCCAAGAGCAACAACAGATTTCACAACACTTTGCGAAAAACCCCGAAGGATAACCTACAAGCGAACTCAATCACTGTCTAGAGGGTCTTCTAAAATGTCAACAAATACGAAAACACTAAAATCACATACAGATTTATGCGCACATAACTCAAAATCAATAACATCAGCTTGTCAGTATGGCACAGATACGTATAATCAACCTTGCTAGTAAGTTTGGGCAAGCTTGCACCAGGGTTTGTTGAAAGGTAGTGGACATTGTGTATTTAAGAATGCAAAATACTAAGTATCACTGATCACGTGTCTCCTGGCGATAAATTTCAAATTATTGGTTAACTTGATCAGTTTTGGATAAAATGAATAAAGTGTCGTGAGAATATTTCCGCAATGAGGAAGGAAAGAATATTGAATTGATAACCACCGCTTCTGTAACGCATTCAGTGAGCTCTCGCGCTTGGCAAAAATTTACTGCTCTTCTATGCGTGTCGTTAGCTGTGACCCCGTATGACGTATTTCCTTCACTAAATTCTGTGCAAGAACATCAGTCCTTACCACGAGCAAAACGTTTTATGAGCTTTATTCCGTACTACAATATGACATAAAATAACTGCCTGTCAGCTCAGTGATTTACATGCTCGCTTTATAAGCTGACGATTCGTGATTTGAATCCCTGATTTGTTAATGCTGCATTCATTTTAATTTTTGCAAAGTTTCAGCTGCAGCATAAACAGCACTAAGTGCAACACAGGGGGCGCAATGCAGTGTTGTGTGTATATCACAATTTGCAAATTGTAATATTTACACAAATTAAATGTTTCCGCACTGGCTCAAAATAAGTGGGTTGAATGACGTCAAGAGAGTTAGGAAAATAGTGAGTTGCACCATTTAGATGGAATGCCCTTCCGATTCAACAATATTAAACAAGTTTGTCGAAGATAGAATAAATATCTCCCACCTTTAACCAATATGCCCTCTTCCAAATAAAGCCAGAGACAATCTAGTTTATTATTAGCGTATCCCTTAGGCGCACTCTGCCCTCAGTTTTGAAAGGGGGTCCTTCATAATCGCACATCGGTCACTTTTTGTGGAATTTGACTCTCAAGTGAATGTGATGACCAAAATAACATCTGTCACTCAAATGCTAAGTTACCAGTTCAAGCAGAGGGCGCTATTTACCCTGCACAGACTTGTCATTTTTATTCCAGGACTGATTAAAGAAACACCTGTCAGGAAGGCGTATGTCTTGTTTTGGAAAGAATGACCAATAATTCCTGTAATCCCTAATAAGAGCACTAATTATTCCTGGCTTTGGTTGTGGATAAAAGGAATTCTTTCTGTTGCTTTACAAAAGCAATAGCTATTAGGAGCACATTCCAAATGCAGCCCTTAATAATGACTTACAAGTCATTGACAGAGAGCTTTGAGTCTTGCAGGCATACCATACCAAAATAGAAGACAGCTGAACAAAGCCTTCTGCCCGATACAAATTTGTCAAGTTTGAACCAGATAAAGGCTTTGTCTCATTTCACCCAACTAGAGACTACGAAGAGCGCGCACGTGTTGTTTAGATCTTTTGTGTTAGTCAGGCCATTAAAAGTCAGCAAGTGAAGTGGCGATGTTTTCGCACGTGCAAGGTTTCTCGTTTTTTTATTTTGGCATTGATACAGCATTGATTGACGTATTGCCACAGGTTGACTGGTGTGAAGGGTGTTATGAGCTGTCTGAACGCCAGGGTTCAGTGTGCAGGTTGCAGTCTTTAGTAGTTTTCAGAGGATTTTTGTGGCTGGTGAATGTTCTTTCGAAATTCAAAGTGCACACTGGATGAAGGCGTTCTAGATGCGGCCGTAATTCTGACCCTAGAATTTTGGCGAATGTGGGATTACCTATAACAGTGTGGGACTCTGTCCTTGATGCTTAGTGTACAGTGCAGTGCAAAAATTCCTGTGGATCTGACAGACGTTTCACCGAAGGAAGGACCGTCGATATGGATTGCCTTTATGCAGCTAGGGAATTCGACAAAACAGCGACTCACAATTAATGACGGGCGATCTTGTACTTCAGCAGGGTGAGTGTTTGTTGACTTAAGAAAAAAAATGTAGTTTGTATTTGATACTTCATGCCATGCCTGCACACCATGATCATATCTTTGCACTTTGCATTAATGCAATGGATTGGATTGGTTATATCGGTTACCGGTACAATGTGATTAATGTCAATGCAATGTGCAAGTATAATTATATTCTTTTGACGGACTGCCTTTATGGAGTCCTTACTCCAGAGCTGTGTTTAAAGAGAGTGGCACCAACTTCAGACTTTGGAACCAAAATGGCTGTTCATTATGTGTGGAGTACAGCATCCGGCTATGTGTGCTAATTGTTCATGTGCCCTGACGTGTAATCCACCATTTTGTTTCCAACAATTGAGACATTTAATTATATCGCAACTCTAAATAGTTGTTGCAAAAGAGATCATAAGTAGATCTTGATGGGACACGAGCACGTAAAATCGTCCCATTACGCGTCTAAAACTTGGAACCTTATAGATAGACGCTAACGCGTGCGTGTGAAGCACGCACAAAAGAATTATTCACTGCCCATGAAATAAGTAAAAATACGAGCGATTCACAATAGTGCGCCACCAAGAGTTTGCAACAAATTGGCCAATCAGAACGCGTGAACTTTGTCGACCCTTTCCAAACGCGCAATGGGTCGACAAATTCCGCGCATTGTGATTGGCCAACGCGTTGCAAACTCTTGGTGGCGCACTATTGTGAAACAGCCGTATTGATAGGAAAAAAGCTTCACACGAGCAGAATACGGACCGGACTGGGTGCGCGTAAAGGCGTGCACATTAACATTGCAGCGTAGTCAAACATGTCTACCCCCCCGGCCAAATTTGCGGAACGTAACAGAAAAGGCCTGCCGTCTCAAGTTTTGCTATAATGATCTCCATGGCTCTGACTTACTTTAGGCGAGAGCGCCCTCGTTTGTTTGAAACTGACATTTGTGTAGTAGGACAGGCAGAGCCATCCCTAGGCATGTAAAAGCATTTGTATGTCTATGGTACCATCCCGTCGCAGTGGCGGCGCTATTGACGATTAACAAGTCGTCAATTCTAACACTCTCTGGTAGGCCGGACACGTTCAGAAGGTGCTACATCGGTCTGGCACAATTAATGACAAGGTTTGTACGGTGGAGTAATAGACCGATCGCGCTCGCTAAATCACATGACCTATAGTGGGTATCAACCCCGTAGCAACGTGTTTTAAGTGTTTTTACAAACAGTACCGCCAAGTTATGGTATAGTGCCCAGCACATCAATAGTCTGAGTACGGTACC